CGCCAGAGGCGCCGCCAGAGGCGCCGCCAGAGGCGCCGCCGTGGGTGCAGGAGGGTCTCTCGCCGCCGCCGGCACCTTCCGTGCTGCCGCCAGGCTAGAGATGTAAGAGTATTGCCGATGGCAGATAAGACAAGTGAGATGGGTGGCGCCGATCATCGACATTTCTTATAAACCCAAGTCGTAAACGGGGATGTAGGGACACCGATCTTAAACCCCAAAGGCCTCCGTGGCGATGTGTCGGTCGGGACTGCCCTGCTGCTGTGCGGTACCTTCCGGGATTTGTCGGGCTTCTGTATAAGGTCTATATGTGATATCTACATCAGGGTTAAGAATGCTTACTTTTTGGAAAACACATTGAACAAAACTAGGCAGGGGGCTGAAATTCGGATCGCTGGTCACCTACCTGGCTTAGGTGAGATTTCTGGACGGCTTCTCTTACAAGGCCATGAATGCTCACAGGACCCAAGCAGCCCTTCCAAAGCGCTCAACAACGATTGATTGCCAGTTTCAAAATCCCTTCCAATGTGACTAAATTCTGCCCCCATAGGATCTCAGTAGAGAACCCTCTTCGCTGGCTTGAGCGACCAAAACCCAAAACTCGAAAATTTAAAGGCTATGGACGCTAAATACCCATATAGGCCTCTTGGCCCTGATACTGAGAAGGTTAGGTGCGTGCCCTCAATCCAGCCTTGTGTGTGGCTGCTAACCGCCTGCAAAGAAGCCCGGCAAAGGCTTTGCGTTCTGTTGGTATATGATACGGGCCTAGGTTCTTAGAATGGGTATTTCGGGCGGTTGGTACTTCAATTCCGATTAGAAACTCATCTGTCACTGTGTATATTCTTTGATTGTATGATATATCCCGCCAACCCCATGGCTCATCTATATCTATATCTATATCTATAACTATATCTATATCTATATATCAATATATATATATTGATATTTCTATTTATATTTCTACTTCTAGTAATATTTACATTTCTACTTCTATTTATACTTACATTTATACTTGTGCTTATATTTCTATTCATATTTATATCATTTTTTAATGATATGTATATATATATATGGGCTGCCGCCTATCCCCCCCCCCCCCCCCACTCTTTCAACGTCTTCATACAGTAGCCAGTCTTTCCGTGTCTTGATACAGTAGCCCAATAATTATAGCACAGCCATGTCCATAGACACAGCTACTGTTTATAAACCATGTTTATAAACACAGCCACTGCTCATAAACGCAATCACCGCAAACAGCCATGAATATATTGGTTTCAAGTGATGTAAAATTATGTAATCAAAGCTTTGAACTGACGCATCTTCGACTACCCCATTGAAAAATGTAAGCTTTTGTGACTACCATGGAAGCCATCTTCATTTCAAAACATGTAATTGGCTATCTTGCGTTGAAACGATAATTAAGATCACTGGCGGGGATGTTCGGTGAACCTTCAATTCTCTCATTTACACTGCGAGTGTGCTAAGTATTTGAACTTCTCATACTAGATATTCAGAATAGGTTGAATACTCTTGCAATCGGCTTGAACATCGAATATGGTTGAAGTTCTTTCAACACGTTGAAGGCAACCTGCAACTCAACTTATATCGCTCACACTTTTTTGGCGTGGAAAGTTTTCTCTGGATCTTCGATCGTGGGTTTTCGAAATAAATAATCGCGTTGGAAACGTGTATTTTGAACTGAAGATTGAAGACTCCTGGGGAAGTTGTCTCGACGAATCTTCGATTCTTGTCTTCAACGCATTTCAGACTGCCAGATGAAATATGGCTTTGTTTGGAGTCCGAGCATTCCCCTGCTATGACTTCGACCTGTGACAGTACTCCACAGCCTTCTTCACAACCGCGGGGTCAGTCTTGGCAGCAGAGACCGTGGGTTTGTCTTCCACATGATGGGCCGCAAGGCAAACACCGAAGTCTGCGCGCCGACTGTGCGCCAATTGTGGCTGATGAAACGCTCTAACACGCTACCCTATTGTTGCTGACTAAGGGTAAACTGCACAGAGGGATAAGATAAGTCTGACACGTCTACTTGTGACAGACGAGCACCACACCACACCCCGAAAAAATTGGGGCTGTCTCGAGCCATTTGCGGGTTTACCTCATGCGCTTGCTAAGGCACGTCGTACGAGCACGCCTTCAGAAAGGCGTCGGCTGTCCACATGTGGACGTTCAGCACCTCTTTCGGGACACGTCGGGCTCCGCGGATGGTAGCCTCTTCGCTGTCAGGTTGCTGCGTCCCTGAGCGCTTCCACGATGCGAGTCGTCGCCTGCTGAGGCCTGCGCGCCGACTTTGTGCCGAATATGGCTGATGAAACGCTCGAGCACGCGGCCCTTTTTTTGCTCACTTGATTAGACGTAAGCCGAAAAAGGGATAAGATAAGTCTGACAACCACTTGCGGGTTTATCTCACGTGCTTGCTGAGGCGCGTTGTATGAATACGCCTTCAAGAAGGCGTCTGCGACCCACATGTGCACATCCAGCACGTGTTGGTCGTCCCTGAGCGCCTCTGCAATGCGAGTCGCCGCCTGCTGCGGGCTGCGCGGCTTTGGCTGGGTACACGCAAGACGTCCCGAGCCTTGCGACGACGCTGCAGAATCTGGATGATTTCTACGAAGAACTCGACCTGCAGGACCCAAGGAGCAAGTGGATGCAATGAGGCAGAATCCCTCCACTGCTAGAAATCTCACGGCACCTGGCGCCTGGAGTTGAGGGATGGAACTACGAGTGGCTTCTTTACGATCCCGCACCTTGATCTAAAGACGCTCAGCAGTCGGGACCTATAGTCCTTGCGTGCGTCAGTCGTGGCAGCACAATGCCTTGCCGGTGATTGGTTTTGGACACGAAGCTCAAATACACGCTCCTGATGATGTTCGAACCCACAAGCTGAGAATAGCGACCCTCGATCTTTAGGAGCCTTGTGATTTCCGAACAAGATTTGGGAACCCAACACATTTCACACACAAAAACCGAAACTGTGAACCTCCTTCATTTTCTTACAAACTGTAGCTGTGCTCCGACGCCCCTAGGACTTTGAGCACGTGCGCAATTTAACATCGTATTTGTTCAGATAAGAGCCTGTTAAACCCCGAAATTTGCTCCCTGACGTGGGAATAAAGCCAGTTGAGCCGGCGGATGCAAATCGAATGGCTGCCCAGCAGCACATCAGTATTCTTTAGACAGCCAACATTTGTTGCCAGGGCCCTTAACATGGAAAGGGCCTTGAGCCTACGTATTCGAATCTTTAAAACATGTTCACTACGAGACTTCCCCAAATCCCAGTTTATCGATTTTGAATGTTTTGAGCCATACTTCTATGAAATTTCAAGGGCGCCGACATCACTAAAGCTGTGTGGAAACTCATTAGTTTCAACTTGTCTTAGCCTCTCACAACACATTTCGGTTCCCATTGACATTTCATGTAGACAGTCTCGAACTGGGAGATCTTCCAGACGGCTGCGTTTAGAGGTTTATCCACATGCAGCTCATGAATCCCAGCTGTTGTCCCAAAAGCTGTCCTTCATCAGTGTCGCCTCTAACTGGCTTGGGCGACTGTCAAAAACGCCATTGTGATTTAAAAGGTCAAGGTCAAGAATGGACTTGTGTTGCAGAAGGATGTAAATTGCCACACTTAGCTATAGCAATTGGGATTTGAAAGGGTGACGCAGGCTTGGGGGTTGCAGCAAATTTTCTCTGCCAAGGAACACGGGATTTGCCGGGATTATGAGGGTGTCCAGGTGTTGCAAAACTTGAAAATGGTGGACCCGGTGGGTGGGTGGGGGGGGGGGGTCACACCTATAAACATATATGTCTGTGCATATGTCTATAGTGTATGTGTATATACACATATTATATATATATACGTATTATAATCTTGTTTCTCATATTTTCTCCTCTTTTTTGAGTAAGCATTTAGGCTACTGCCTTAGTCACAGTACTGCTTCCTTGCAAGGGTCTGTGAGACAGGTTAGCCTCAGAACAGGGTTCAGGGTTCCAGCCTCAGGGGGTTTAAGGCTTCCTGGGGCTTCGCACTTCGCACTCAAGTCTTGGTATTTCGTGTCAACCACCAAGCGGAAAGAGTAGCCTTTCTTGAGGTCAGGGCTTTGGCTTAAGGGCCGGGGCCATGAAGCCAGCACCTGATGAACCAACTGAGATGACTAATGGTGAGAGTCCACTTTGGACGTGCTGA